AAACACCACAACAAATAACCTTGAAACATACCCGGTACAAATCAAGGGGGGTACCTTATACGGCGTTTTACGGTACGACCAAGCCGGCTAAGTCGACTCGTCGATCAGGGGTCGGCTAACCCCTAATCGGCTTACAACACTAGTCTGAATCACTTTGCCAAAAAGGAGTAATGGTTTAAAAGTACTGTACGTGTACGTTTTACTTTTTGCGTTATCCGAATTTAGTATTTGACAATTTATAAAATCTGCAAAATAACAATATAAAAGATAAACTACAATAGCGATAGTACTAAACTGAAAATAAAACTAGTCTCAGTTTATGAAAGGGTCTTCTTTAAGCTCATCGGGGTCTATCTCGATACCTAAATCTTCCTATGTATTAAATTAATGGAATAAGTAGGAACATATATGCCAAAAAGAAACTGTAACATATATAGATGTGATTACCATAAGTTCTCTAGTCTTTTTTTCTATGGCATCCGCGATTTGCGCGAAAATTTCATCGAACTGATGATATTACTTCAGTGTTAATATTATTATCAACTGTTTACATATTTATAACATTGTAACATTACCATTCGCTTCCTTTGTCTCCAAAGTTTTCGATTCCTTGCATAAAGCGCTTCAATACGATTCTTATCTTCAACAGACACAGACTTGGTACCTGATTTTAATTCTTGTAATCGTTCTTCATTTCTATTATTCTGATTAAGAACATGCAGTGTTATATATTACTAAGCCTTCTTAAAAAGTGGAAATTCAATAATACCTTTTCTGCCAAGGTTTTGAGCCTTTATGATGAGAAATTAAAATCAATTAACGATGTATAACACACAAAGCATAAGAAAATATTTTATTTACTTTGCCTCAACTTGTTCGTTCGTTAATGAGTTGGTTAACCCGCTTAACACTGTGTGACGAGATGCATTGTTAGTGATTCAGTGTTGTCGATTGCAATTTAAAGAATATGTGCCACATGATCACCTGACTGCAATTGCTTATTTCTTTCTTTATAGTCATTGACTTCTTTCTTAAGATCTTCAATTTCCGCGTCCATATTATTCAATTCATCAGGTGACGGAGACTCGAATTGTTCCTAGTCCGAAGTTAGAACATTTTATAGCTGTAATTAAAAACGCGAAGAAAACGCGTAGAAAGTCGTCATTACCTGCGATACCACATAAACAGACTGTTTTCCATAAGTTTTACAGACAACTTCTTCTTTATCTACTAAACTTGTTAAAACTTTTTGCACAATTGCTTTTGTAACGGCACCATGAAGGTTGTTTGAAATATCAGCTAGAAAATTTAGAGGTATCGGTTAAGGATAACGCGTAAATGGTATACCACGTATTCAAGCGTTGTGTAAAGGAATATATTGCTTATTATTTAATCACTGTTTTTGACATGAAAGCAAAAGGGATACTGGCACTATAAGGTCGATTTTGTTTTCTTAGATAATCTAGAACTTTTTGTTCAGCTAGTGCTGCGGTATAAACATATTTCGTTAGTTTAAATTTCAATCTTTACTGTCCTTGGCTTCTATCCTAAGCTTGGTTCCTACCATTATCATCTCTAATCGCTAAAGATTTCTTTTGTTTAACCATTTTCGTAATACTTTATTAAAAAATATGACGGAAAGAGACTCGAGTTATATAGTTAGACATTTAAACACGTTATTTAACATGATAATCTCGTGATCAATTATCTGTTATCAATTTATTTTATTTATTATATATAAAATTTATTATGTATCATGTGAACACAAGCATCCTTATTTAAAGACCAAAAGATTAATCTAGAAAGAATTATAAAGTATCGACTTGATATATTGTAATAAAAAAAAAAAAATAAAAAATTAATGGCATTTGCTTTATACCTAATAAGTACACTCTAGGAGGTATATTCTGTATAATCTGCTGGATAATCTGTACTAATATCCTGCTGCGGAATTGGAGATGTGGTTGTAGCTGGGATATCTTGAGGTGGTCTTTGAAAGTCTTCAGAAGTCGGCTGCGTTATGAGTGGTTCTTCCTTAGGTTCCTATTCGTTTTATCGATATTAATTCAAAGAATCATAAATGTTATTTGGTATTAAATTAACCGAATCAAAAGATAATATAATATTACATACCATGATGTTAACCACATCGGGAAGTGACTTCTTAGGACCAATTTTACCGGTAGGATCCCAATCCTTGGATTTTTTTTCAAAAATGAATTAACACATATGTCAAAATAATTTATAAAAGAAATATGTAGACGTAGTTAAACAATCGACTCCTCTAAGCTCTTGCTGGAATTAAAAAATTTTATTGTTAAAAGAAAAGTACAGGTGACCCTTGTTGATATCAACCCATTTGGATTGGACAATTATGTTGATATATATGAGAGTTGATAACAAAGTGGTAAAATTTATATAGCCTGAACTCAATTTTTTACAAGTTTAGGTTGATATTAACGAGTAACGAAGTTGATATTAACGAGGGTCACCTGTATATTTGGGATTGCCTCTGCATTTAAAGAGAATCTTATTAGGCCTGCACTTAGAGGATTTGCATTTAGGAAAAGTCGACTATAGTTGATAATTTATAAGATGTTAACACACACCAACATGATTTTGACTTTGATACCTAACACTCCTTGTCTCAACATTACATGCCGGACAGCAGTATCAACATAGTCTCTAATTGGCTGGCCAGAGTGAATCATGAACCCGTCAACAAATTTCATTGATTTTGCACGGGCAGCTCGAAGTTTTCCAGAAACAACCACTTCACAACCCTTAGCACCGGATTCCATGATGAAACGGAGAACACCATAGCAAGCCCTTAATTAAATTAAGACATGAATGGTAGAAATCTTAATTAAACGAACTGAAATATATAATAAATGTACCTTCGTACAGCAAGACCTGCTAATAGTTTGTATCGAAGAGATTCGCATTGTGCAATAGCACAGAGCCCACGATTTTGTACCTTCTCAGCATACAATTCTACTGTATTTTCCGGAAATTTAAATCGTTTTTGGATAAGGGCAGTAAGTTCTCGAATTCTACGACCCTTTTCACCAAGGACTTCTTGAGTATGGGTCGCACGAATGATGATTTCTGTGCGGGCTGGTGTTACACGGACTTCAACACCTGAATAACCCTCTTCGGCTAATTCACGAGTAAAGAATTCGTTGAGCTCAGCGAAAAAGACACCGTCAGCAACGAACTATGGGAGGTCAAGGAATTTTACACAAGAATGAAAATAATCGAAAAGCTTTAAGAAATCTTAAATCAATTTAAGGCTTTTGAATTTAACAGGATTTAATAACCAACTATAATTATTAAGTGAAAATTTGAAACTTTGCAATTCTTTAGCTCGATTAAAATTTTCACTTATGTTTGATCAGATAAACTTTAAATTCAGTACATTATACCTTGAAGAGGTATTCAAACAAGAGGTGCCAGATAATATATCATCATATCAATTATAAAGTGAATTTTTTGTATCCAGCTTTTTTTTTGACATAAATTAGCAATTGTAATATTTTATAAAATATTAATTGATACTTTACTTTTCTTTTTTTTGAGATTTGAGCAGCCATTATATGTTAATGGATACCTGAGAAATAAATATTATCGGTTAAAAAAAAAAAAAAAAATAACCGATTCTTAATATAAAAAAAAAAAAAAAAAAAAAAAACGATTCTCTGATTTTTAACAAATATTTGATTGGTCCAAATACTCGATATCAGATATATCTATCGATATTGAAAAATACAAAAATTTTGGGGTGCTTTTTTTAGGGTTAGGAGTCATAGAGGTAAAATTCACTTGCCATCATTGACAATTGTCCAAATTGTCCAAGTACCTTAGCCATGAAGAAAAGTTTCAAGTTTTGAGCGAAAAATATCACAATAATCTAAAATCGATAAATTTAATTCTATGAATCAATAGAATTAAAATAAAAAAAATTTCATCGATTTTAGATAGGTAGTTAGAGTTATTCATCGCTCAAAGTTTGGAAAAACTTGGCTAATTACTTAAAATCGATGAAATTTTTTTTTTTACTTTAATTCTATGGATCCATAGAATTAGAATAAAGAATTTTTCATAGAGTTTAGATAAGCAGCTATCGAGATACCATCGCTCAAAGTTCAAAAAAAATTTAGCCGATTATCAAAAAGACCGCGGCTAAGTTTTTCCAAACTTTGAGCGAAAATATCTAATTATCTAAAATCGATTGGTTTAATTCTATTGATTCATAGAATTAAATAAAAAATTTATCGATTTTGGAAGTATTTGAAGATAATGAAACTGAATTAGAAATTATCGATTAATATAAAAAAACTCTTTATGAGGTTTAGCTTATTTATTATTTTTATCGAATTAAATTATGCAACATAATAAATAGAAACATTAATATCGATACTATAATATAGATGCTTGACCTTCTTGAAAAAGTCTTATAGTCTGCGGCACCAGGGACCCGGGACGTCATATGACGGACTTAACGGGCATGAGTTATCTCGCCAGTACGGTGATATTTGGAGGATAGATTAGTGGAGCAACTAAAATTCAGCCGATCGACCAAAATTTAGGGTCGGAATAGGCTGGAGTTGATAAATTTATCCTCAAATCACCCAAAATTTTACTAATGAAATGGTAGCCCACGTATTAAGTAAAGCTGCCCATATGATAATTTTGCTACGTATAATATAGCGATAGGTGGTTATATTATTATTACTTAATGCTGGCCTAGCTCCGGGCCTACTCCGACCCTAAATTTTGGTCGGTCTGCTGAATTTTGGTTGCTCCACTAATCTATCCATATTTAGAGGCCAAATCGCCATACCGGTGATCTCCGCAAAACGGCCTTTGAGAAATGTGAAAAATCCGAAGGCGTCTAAGCGGAGGGAGGTAAAAAAAAAAAAAAAAAAAAAAATAGGTAAACAATATTGAATCAAATTTCAAACCAATTCAGAAAATGCTAGAGGATATAAAAAATCTGAACCAAGCAAAAAATCTTCCAAAAATCTGGAATAAACGAAATAAAAATACTTTTTATTGGTAATTCGAAATTTATGTTATTGTATTTAAAGCCAGATAATAAAGTTCAAATAATTTCGAATAAACTTGACATTTTCCTTATTTTATAATTTTAATTAGTTATTTTAAACAGCGATTACGTACATGACAGAATGAGTTTTTGTCTTGGGACCGAGTACGGACCGGACTTTTCGTACGACCTATGAATTTGTGGGGTCAAGTATTGTCACACGCGTTTATTTGAAGTTGCACAAAAATATCATTAAAAAAAAAAAAAAATTAGGAGCGAATTTTAAGATGCAACAGGATCACCTACTTTTTTGGTTTACACGTTCAAGAACCCCAATTACCTACAAATATATTCGGACAAAAATGTACAACAAAGTACAAACACGAACATACTCTGTCGCTTCAAAGCAAGGGCCTCCTAATCCTACATCTGTTTCTTTAGTTGACCTTTTAGATAGGTCAGAAATACCAAAGGTCAGATTGAACCCACCCGTGTATCAAATCTCTAACAAATACTATGGTAATATCTAAGCATATAGTATATCGTTTTGTATGACCTGTCGAAATCTTTCAAAATTGAGTTAATATACGCGTATTTACACACCTCTTCATATAGCTAGTCGTTGCTTAGACATCCTGAAAAAATGCACTTCATGGCACTCAGGTTATGTCGGGTTTGATACTGAAACTACAGTTCGTAGGCAGCGAAACCATAGATTAGTTTCGATGATACAAATTGCCACACGTGACTTGTGTTTTTTATTTCAAGTGTATCGTATTACACAAGGGAATTGCAAAGAGTTTCCACCAATACTTCGTCAATTTTTAAGTAATCCAAATATTTTAAAGGTTGGAGTCAACGCAAGTCATGACGCAGAGTGGCTAAAGAAATCATATGATATTCAATGCCAAGGAATTGTTAATCTTGAGGATATCGCTAAAGAAAAAGGGTATTCAGCGGGATCATTGTCAGAGTTAACGTTAATGTTTGGAGATCCGGGGCTTGTTTTAGAAAAAAATAAAAGAAAAATTTTGAAATGGAATTTTGATGCAGCAACATTGGACCCTGAATTAATATTATATGCTTCTGCTGACGCATTTGCTGGAATTCAAGTGTATGAGAATATTCTTGAAGATAGGATGAATCCTGATTATTTAAATTATGAAAGCATGAATCCGATGTCCAGGGAAGAAGAAGAAGAAGAGATTTACGAATTGCTTTTAAGTTCTTATCCGAAAGGAAAAGTAAGTCATCTTTATTTTTTCAGACAGCTTGGCCATAATTTTCATAAATGACATCTTATTCCATCATAACTTTACTGAAACAGGCTCACAAATTGAATATTTTTGTCAGCTTACTTGAAAATAAATATGGTCGTTGGATTAAGACCAAACCAAAAAAACTTGATCGGCATAATGAAGTGAATAAAACAATTGAAAAATTTATTGAGGACGGACGTCTTATTGTTGTCGAGGAAGAAAAACAAATAGATGGTGCTGATGAACAAAATCAAGACGCTGAATCCAGTAAAGAAATTCAAAATTTAGAATCCGCTAGCGCTACTATCGACAAAATCGATATGTTGGTTAAACTTCCTGGCATATCAATTGAAACTATTGTTTCAAGTTCTTACGCAGATCAATTTTTTAGTTCAAAGGGTCTTAATTTAGATGATCGTAATTTTTTAAAAGAAATTCTGCCATACATATTGAAATCTGCAAAAAAAGAATCGCTAGTACATATATATATTAATAATGGGAAAAAACAATCTTTGGCTAAAGACGATCAAATAATTAAAGAAAAGCTTGATGTTTTGAGCCTAAAAGGAGCTTTAATACCAGGTAAAAAGTGGAATACGCTTATGCTCCATCCTGATTGGCTAACAGAATTGGAAACAGGTTACGAGGAATTTATAACTGCTCAACAAGTTCAGTCAAAAAATATACAAAATTTGGACAATGCAAACCACGCCTTTTTATAATAATAAAATAATTTTAGAAAATTATAAAATTATAATAATTATATGTAATTAACCAATCAAATTTTAGAACAAATAATTATTTTTTTTATAAAAAAAAATTTATTTGTATTTTATAGATATATAGTTGGCTTTTGCTATAGTTATATATTTGGGAGGTGTTAATAACAGTTACAGGATATGTTTTAATAGTTACTGTTACTTATAAGTTAATATACTAAATTTTATATGTAAATTTTTATAAAAAAAATTATTAAAATTTAATTTATTTACATGTTGTATATACACAACTCTTTTTGATTATCTTTTGGCTAATAATTCCAAAAAACTGAACTGCAGAAAAATGTTATAAAAAATATTAAAAGGTGATAATATACACAAGTAGGTGTGTTGTTGACAAAGTATCAAGAGTGTAAAACTGAGCTGTAGACTACTTTAGATAGTTTTTGTAGAGGTCAAACTTTTTTGCAGTAGACTTTTTTATTATATTTGGCATCCAAACTAGAAGGTTATTCTGGGAATACAAAACAATTAGATCAATGTTAAGCATATAAAAAAACTGAAGATTGTCTTTATATAACTGTAAAACTTACAAAGAAGAATCTACAAAGTTTTGTTAACCTATCACTTTTTTCAAAAAAATTTTGTCAAAAAGTGGATATCTTAGTTTATTTCTTCCAAAAAATCAACATGTATTTTTTTAAAATAATTGATATTGTTTACTTTTTTAAATATGCAGTTACTATAAAATCATATATTTATAATAGATATAGTAACTGTACGATTAGCTTATTTCATACCATGCAATAGAGATGATAATACTTATAACAATATGTCAGTGAACATGCCTTGAATTGCTAGTAATCTATTCAAATAATACTTCAAGACTACCTACTAACTACTTTGGCTAGTTGAATTTAGTTTTTTTAGTTTAGTTATATTTTTTTTATTATTATGAAGGTTTTTTTAGTTTATATATATATTATTATTAGGATAAATATAGATACAAAGCTCCTTTATACTTTAATATGTAATTTTTATATAGCTCAATATAAGTTTATAATTGTGATCTGTCAGTGTTTTTTCAGTTTGTTCTTCTTCTCTATTTTTAGTAATAGTTTTAGTGTTAATATTTTTTTTACTTTTTTGCAAAAAGATATTATCAGATTGGTATAGAGTTTCAATCTATAAACCATTTATTTATTTATCTATTTGATATTTGATATTTAATAATAATTGTTGCAAATCATAATTTAGAATGAAATCTACATTTTCTACTTAACCTGTTAATCTTCTAAAACCTATTTAAACTTGTTTATTATAAACTTTACTTTAAAACTAACCCTAACACTAACCTTAGAGTTTAAAGCACAGGAAAAAAATTAGGCATGTCTATAGTAGCATGTCTTTGCTAAAGCATGCCTCTTATGCTTATAAATATGCTCTTTTTAAATCATGTGACTAATATATAGTTTGTGAATTCGCAATATGCTAAAAACTTTATATGGGTGTTAGTAAAAATCAAGCAAATTGTTTCTAAGTAAATTTTTTTAAACATTAAGTTAAAA